TTGTTAGTTAATTTTTGTTTATAACTTAAAATCGAAAAGTTTAAAAAAGTACTTAAAAATTTTTTAAAAATTATTTAATAAAATTTAAATAAATTTTTATTTTTTTTATTATATTCAATTAAGTTTTTATATTTTTATTTTAGATTTAATAAATCTTTATAACAAATAGTAATCTATTTGTTATTAGTCAAAATATTACTTATCATTAAATATCATATAGTATTGACGTGATATATTGATATATTATAATAAATAGTGATATAGTATGTTAGTATAGCATAATAGTATTGTTATATAGTATTTTCACTTTCCAAATTAACACCATGTGATATAAAAGTGATAAATGACGTTTTGATTAAAGTTAGTTAATCAACTATTAATTATAAAGTTTTATATGATTCAAAATAAAAATATTAATGCTTAATTAAACGCAATAAAATAATTAAAACGTATTCGCATTTACTTAAACAGTTCAAGACTGTTTTAAAACATTATTGGTATGTTTGGTATGAGGAATAACTTATTTCTATATATTATTTCTTCTCTCATTTGGTTGGCAAATAACTATTCTCTTAAAATAACTAATCTTCAAAACCCTCCAAAAACAAGGTCTAACTAATCCCAATCCCCCTCATGATATTTGCTATTCCATGGTTAAGAGAATAGCCTCTAAAATTGATAAAACTAAAATGCATTTTATTAAAGTTTTAAAAGTTTTAATATTTTAATCATAATAATGTTCAAATTATGAATAAAATATTAATATTTAAATGATTAAATTATTAATATTTTAAATTTTTAATTAAAATATAAATTGGAAATTAAAAATAGATAAAAATTATACTAATATTTAAATAATAAATTTTAAAATTTTAATGAAAATAAAAATTAAATTATTCAAAAGAAGAAATTTACTTATTTTTGTAACTTGGTCTAAATTTTACAAATTATATAAAGGGTATTTTGTTTTATTAAATAAATCTAATTATAATAAAAAGACTAAAATTTTAATTATAAATTATAAAATTTTAAATTTAAAAATTAATAAAAATTATTAATATTTTAATCATAATAAATCTTAAATTATAAATAAAATATTATCATTTTAATTTTTAATGATTAGATTATAAATAAAATATTAATATTAAAAATATTAATAGTTAAGTTATTAATTATTAATATTTTAAATAAATTATAAATTATTAATATTTTAAAATAAAATAAAATAATTATATATTATAATAAAAGGTATTTTTGTTTTTTTATCATTTATTCTTTTATTATTTCAAAAATATTTTTAGTCACTAAATATTATAATAAATCATAATAACCATTTTTATTTTATTACATTTTGTTAACCAAATTATATAATAATATTTTTATTTTATTTTTATCTTATTCTATTATCACAATATATATAATAATATTTTTATTTTATTCATATATTATTTTGTTTTTATAAAATATTTATTTTATTAAATTCCGCGAATCAAACTTGCTCTAAAAGAAAAAAGAGAGAGATGATGTCAAGCAGGAGTCGTTAAGATTTGGGCCTACACTTATCAACATGTCGCAGCCTGATCAATATTCCAATTCGGCCTAGAGATTGCATACGTTCATTACATTAGATACAGGAGAAAGGAATTCAGTGAGCTCAACTCAGGAGCAATTTTCCTGTTGAGATATAATGGGATCAAGCCAAAGATTTCGTCTTCACTCTTGAGTCCACATCAACGGAGACTGAATGTATCTTCCTAAATTAAACTTGCCACATTTTCCTTTTTCTTTTTGGCCATCAAACTTAACACATTTTTAAACATGTTAATTTTCCTGGAAGAAATTGTTTTCCCTCTTTTCTTATTGCTTAACCTGAGCCTGGCATCACATCAGATCATTTTCTTGTAAAACTGCTCTTTTACAAGGGCAGGTGGCTGTATACATGAAAAGTGACGGGAAATACTTGGTTATTGGTTTCAGCTGTGAATTTTTATTCATTCTTTTAGAGTTAACTGAACTCATTGGTTTGGTTGGGAGTGGTGACAATGCTGATAACCAACCTCCAACAACCTCCACCTTTTATTTAATCCGGGATTCCAACGAAGAACGTTGCTATTGAACTCTTATAGTTCTCTCTCTCAGCCCAAATAAATAAATATAAAAATAAAAACCTTGTAATTCCTAGTTTAACCTCCACTGCTCTGATAATCACGTGTCCTACTTTTGTCGGGTCTCAAATTTCTCCCAGCTTTGGCCCACAAGTTCTCTTGTGTTAAAACAATTTCAACACAAATTTTGGCCTGTTTCACGTTTTACTTGTCAATCGAATGGCCTGATTCACATAAATTGTTGTCTGAAATTATTTTCTTCCCAGACTTTATTAATTTTATGACCGCCCAAATCGGTACAGCAAAATTCTTTTAAATAAGATGCAGTACCATGCCTCATGCTCATGCTTAAAATCTGCTTCCAAACTTGTGGATGTGATTTTTATTTTGGTCTTCCTTTAAATTCAGGACAAATCAAAAGAAATTTTCAAGTTTTGATGATTTAAATGTGAACTTTCTGCGTAAATGTTGTGAATCAGTTGAATTGAGCTCGAGCTTGGCTGCGCCGCCTCCAGCAAATCGTATCTGCTCCATTCCCATGAAGAGGAAACGAGAGAAAGGGCAAAACAAAAAGAGGGCTATGATTACGCCCATATGTGCACAAGAACAAAGAGTAAGATTTTGCTGAGCTTATAATAGCCTAAATCCAAAGTGAAATGAAATCCCAACACAGTGATCTGAATTCTGACCAGCAGGTGCTGCCTTGTTAATAGTTCAGTAACAGAAGATATCTATCTATATAACTTGTGCTATGACATGTTCTTTCCACCAACTCCAACGAAATCCAACTGCAACTCATCTTCTTATGTTTGGGGAGGTTTGAAAACGTGTCTGCGTTCACGATTTTGGTTTAAGATAATTTTCTGGATTGGCAGATTCATCGTGGTAATAACCACGTGGCAAGTGCAAA